TAGTGATCAGGTGTCGTGTTACATTTTATGCCTGGAAAATTTGAGGCGCTGTTAAAATATAATTTTGGACGACGCCGAGCGGTCGGATACTTATGACCGCTACTGTACATGTACTATAATTAAAAAAATCAAATTAATCAACGATGGTTGAATTTATCTGAAATGCTAAATATGAAGGATGTAAATAAAAAATATTTACATTTTGTTTTTAAATGCTTCATACTCTCGATCGGTCATCCAGGCTGCAATTTCTTGGACCAGCAGCGGTTGCTACGATATTCGGGTGATATATAACTGCAGTCACTACCCAAGTATCCAAAGAAAAATGCATCCGATCAAAAGAACCAAGGCGATAGGGAAAATCACGAACACTGAAATAAGTGATATGATTCATCCGATTCTTAATGCGTTTTTCGTTGCAAATGATCCCTTTTGAATCGGGATTTAGGTAGATATCGCAAACCGCTAACGTGATTGCGCAGTGCTCAGCGGTAAGTTCTATCCTCGGAAACGCTGCTTGGGCAATTACTCTAATAGATTTGTCTCTTTCTACTGACTCCACCACATATAGCCAAAGTCACACTGTTTCCGATACAAAATTTTGGTTTCTGCCAAGAAATGTAAATAAGGGATTACTTATAATCTGTTACTCCTCTCACGCATTCGTCTTAAGTCATCCTTGATTTCTTTTACATCATTGCTCAACTGTTGAACGAGAACAAATAACTGTCGATTCTGCTCAAATAGACGATCTTTCCCGATCTCGACGATTACCGTGATATGACTTTTTAGGAAATTGGTAAAAAGGAGAATTTTTCAAAAATTACTTTTAGAAATGTTTGAAATATCCCTGTGATTATATATGCGTGCTTTTATGTAAAACAGACAGGATCATCGTCATTTGGTTTACGCGTGTGTTTGTAAATAAAATAACGCACGCGTTTATTTTGTTTGATCTACAAAATTTACAAACAAGCGGACGGCACCGCTGATAACCAAGACCAAGCCACCTTAAAAGCCCGCCAGGAAAAGGCGTTGTTTACAATCAACTTCTTTAACACTATCCGGCAAATAATCTAAACCATGGTTAATATCAGTACCATTAATATCAAGTATTTCTAACTTAGTTAAATCCCGTAACGGTTTTAAGGAACCGGTGAAGTTTTTACACCTCATTTTGGAAAGAGAGACTCGTGGAAACAGTAGTTTCTGATACTTTGAAACGGCATACTGAGACCGGTTCTATTGAGACAAAGCCACGTTTTCGAAAAATTGCACCCAATCAACATCACGCAGTGCAATCGTTTCAAGCAGCTTGTGACAACTGACAAAAAGCAGAACTGGCAGCTATGTCTTAGCGAGTACATGACCTTTGGAAGAACAAGACAGACCAGGATTTTCGACTTCAACCATCCATAGTATACTTCATTCTGTCGGTTTGAGGAATTGCATGGCACACCGCAAGCCCCTCATTTTGCCGGCGAGCAAGTAGTACGAGTCGACTTGAGCAAAGCCGTATCAGTCAGATATGATTGGAAGAAATGTTTCCATCCTTTTCAGTCGTGGTAAAACACAGTTCCAGCCATGCACTGGGATTGTTTTTTTGCGATCTAACTGTGCCACTGTATGTGTCAATTACTGTGCAAGTACGCAATACCCACAATGTGTTCTCAATCCGATTGAGAGATCAAGCAAATCGAAAGAAGCATATATTTGAATAAGTCCAACCAATCTCTTCCAGGTTGCAGAGTGCATCACTTCGCATGCAAATTTGCCATTTTGATTTAAGCTGTTTTAGGCTTTTTGAAATGTTATAGGCAAACTATTTAAAATTATATATACAAAATGAATTAAATTGTATTTAGTTTGAGGTATTTCAATTGAAATGACACACCCTATAACCTGGAAGAGATTGGTTGGACTTAATCAAAACCTCCCATATGGAAGTCCAAGGGCAACGATCGAGAATTTGGTCGACAGCATGCCGGCGCGAATTCAGGCGGACAGTTTAAACTATACATTAACAACATTGTATTCGAATTATTTTATAACAAGTCTGTTAACCTTTGTGCATAGTAAAATCAAAGATCTGAAGACCAAATATATTACTTTCGAGGAACTGACCGAAATATACGTATAAGAAATGGATTCTATTAAACAATCAAATGATTGAAGATTGATTTATGGTTATGTAGCGGAACTAATAACGATAACGATTGTTGCATAATATCGGTACGTTGCATTATTCAAATACGTAATCACATGAAGTGATGAAAAGTGTAACGGTCATAGGATATTGTTGCGCTTATAATTAATGTGGGCGATTTGAAGTTTTTCTGACGCAATAAAACTTTGGGAGAGATTATTAGACTGTGTGATGTTTGTTTGGTATCTAAAGTCTGTGCCGATATCTACGGATATCGTTGATTACGTCGATTGGAGAGGGGGAGAGAGAGATTATGTATTTCAGGTGAGTGTTTGGGGGTTTTCTTATCTATTGCTTTTTATAGACAAAAGCCTTAAACTCTTAATAATATCACTAAAAATCGTTGCTTTTTCTAGATGAAAGCTTTCAACTCTTAAAAATAAAGCTGACAATAACGATCACACGAAAACGGTTTTTCATTAACAATGCAAATCTAAATAAAACAATGCCTTTCTGGTACAAAGGACCTAACCGACAATCGATATAACGATTAATGTGGGGGAAATGGGGGAAGAGATTTTACAAGCGATAATTTACTTAGGGGGAGAATAATTGTACGCAATAATTCAAGTTTAATTTTGCTTGGAGAACAATTGTACGCAATATGAATTCTCTTTTTACAAGTAGCTTACTTGGAGAATTATTGTTCGCAGTTTTAATTCTGTTCTTTTATTAGTAGTCCTGGGCCTTTCTTTTATACATTTTTTTGTGTTATTATTATATATTTTTTACTATCAAAGAAGAGAAAGCATAACTTTCTACTAGAAATAAAATAAAAAAAAGAGAGTTTATAACGGACGTTCTATCGTCTATAGAAGCTGTCACAAAATCGAAAACTAATGGAACCGTGCCGAAGATTGATAAAGAGATGCTGAAAACTGATGCAGAAACGCTGAAAACGATGAGGTGATGCTGAAAAAAAGAACGCGTGAAGTGGCGTAATTCCGTGTCGCGTATTAAAAGGGGAGTTTGTTGTTTTTTTATTAGCATGTCGTCATGCTGAAAAATCTACCGAATTAGGAAACCTGCGGCATTGTTGACGATCGTGATGGGAATTCTCTGCAACGTTTACCGAATTTGGGGATACGATAAAGCGTTGTACCCTCAGGTAATCCATCCAATGAGGATGCGCAAATTTTGTAAATCACCAATAAGAATGCACAAATTTTGATCAACCCGGCAAAACAAATCCGGCACAAGAAAATTAAAAAGGCAAATAATGTGAAAAATACGGAAAACGAATGGGTAAACCTAGCTTGAAAGACTAATTAAAAATGTCGGGAAGACAATTTTACATATAACTTTTACTCCACTCCTACCCTAACCCTTATCCTGACCTTACAAAGCATTGACCGATGATTGAACACGTGGGTACAACACTTTATCATATCCCCGAATTTGGAAATCAGCAACGCTCAATTCGACGTTGTTAACATCCGCAACTCGTTTTTCCTGAAAAATCGTAATCGAGGAAGTTTGTCCGTCGGCGGTAACAATATACAGAACGATCATTACCAAAACAGTTCAATAAAAATCTCTAGGAAACAAGACATTCGACAAATATTTATTTTATCATATTATATCATCAAGCCGATTTAACAAAAACATCTGAAAAAAATGGTTAAAAGTATCCTATCTTCTTTCCTTGTTCGTGTCAAAATGTTTAATCTCAGCTCATCGATACTCACATCTTCCACAAGTTTTACAGTTCCTGCATTTTCACAATTTACTAGTCTTTAGCTGAGATCTCTTTTAAAAATGTTTCAAGTTCTGTCGAAAGTGACAATAATCTTTGAAAAGAGTCTCAAAAATAATGTAATCATTAGTAATATAATCTATAATAAAAACCAATTAAAAAATAAACATAAACTTGCTCTCGTTCGTGATTATCTCGATGTGCTTGAACCTCCAGGGCTGTTGTGGTAGAAAGCTAATGCTCTTCGCTTTCTAATCATAGCTTTAATGGCTGCAGATTACTTGCATTGCAAACCACGAGTGTTCCTTGCGAACGTGCCTTCTCTGCGGCAAAGAACACTCTTAATATTGAAAGAAACAGCCTTCTTGAGGAAACAACAAGAGCCTCGATATGCTTGAAGAGTTGGTTGGATGCCAATATTTAGCATAAATTAGATAAATAAGCATTATCATTATGCAAATAATATTTTACGTAGTTAAATAAATTTGTATTACAATAACTATTACAGGTGCACGTGAATAATATCATGTCTTTTGGACCGAACCTCAGATTCTGGAGCCGAACCAGACTTTTAACAGCCCTAGTTTGGGGATATTTGAGTGACTCAATTCAAGTAATTTAGTTCGCACCTCATCACGTATGAATGGTGAAAAGTATGGGAACATTATTTTAGATGTAATTTACCCAATGGTTGTGGTTGCAGAAGAGGCAATATTTCAAGAGGATAATGCACCAATTTGCAAGAGCAAACCTGTAAGGGAACTTAAAGATAATCTTGGAATTGTGACAATGGAGTGGCAAATACAATCACCAGATCTGAAAATGTGTGGAGAGATTAAATGCTGGATTTATAAGAATCGAAAACGACAGACAGAAGCTGACTTGGAGGAAGCCGTATTTTCCCCATGAAATATTATTACATTTGAGAAAATTCTTCACTTTATAGACTCAATGCCAGAACGTATTAATGAAGTGATAGAAAAAATGGATATGCAATCAACTATTGATACGCATTTATTCGTACGTAATAAAATAGAATATATTTCTTGCTACGTAATTAATCCCCTGTACATGTATAAAGTTCAATGACAATATGATTTTTTTGACAAATGCGATAAAATGCTTCACAAAACTGATGTAAAAATGATATGCGTTAAATGCTGCTTAAAGAGCAGTAAAACTAATTGTAACTTCAAAAATGTTCACCATAAACCTTGTTAAACTATCCATGAAATTTTTATAAGAATCAAAATAAGTAGTGAAAATGAAACGCTTGACAACAATCTATAAATTTTATTGGTGCACTCAAGAGGCTGCCCTAACTGATCCAAAAAATAGACGGGTACGTTTAATAGGAATTATTTATTATCGTTGTTTGCAAAAAGATAAAGTCATGCGAATTGCAGTCAGTGAAGGAAAACTGAAAATCCGAGAATCCGAGGATTTAGAGATCATTAATATATATAACGATAATGGTTGAATTAAATATTAAGATGAACGTAGTATTTATCTTTTATCTCATGAATTTATCTAATAGTTTGATATATTGATTGATCTCTAAATTCTCGGATTTTCAGTTTTCCTTCACTAACTGCAATTCGCATGACTTTGTCTTTTTGCAAACATGAATGATATATGAGGAGTGTTGCTGATTGTGGGATCTATATCGCTTTTATAGAACTAATACCATATGGAAGCTCTTGTTTTTGGAGAATAATCACTGGAATTTTCTTTTTTTATCTAAACAAGATAATGATTTTTCGCTTCAAATTTTTCATTTATTTTATTTCAATTTTGAAATCTGACGAAAAATATCTTTTGATTCAATCGATTCGGGGATATTTTTCACTTAGCATAGAAAAATTGTTACCCTAATAAAATTATTGAGGTATTATAAAATCGACCTTGTCCGGATTGGCTTTAAACTCATCAATAGATTGTATTTTATGAATTCAATAAACTTATTGACTAAGAAATTTAATACGTGAATATGATCAAGAAAGGCCTATTCTAACATATTCACATATTAAATTTCTTAGTCAATAAGTTTATTGAATCCATAAAATATAGTATCGAAATGCCTTTTTTTCCGATATTGGTTTTTCTCGATATTTCCAACTTGTCGATTTTCCCTATTCCCTGAGACCTAAACTATCAATGATATATCTTTATCACGTAGAATTTTGAGAAATTTTCGAAGACTGCGTTTAAGTGTTTTTTTTTTTTTTACAGGCATCAACTGATTTGTGAGTGTCGATATGGTCGATATATTGAGTTGACCAGACATTAAATAAAACTATATGTGGTCTCCAGAATTCGAAAAACAGCGTTCAGCTTTAGTTAATGTTCTTAAATTTGGTTTTAAAAATTCTCCATTAATTTATAATTGAAATACTAGATAAACTCAAAAATTTATTTATCAAAATTTGATTTTAATTACATGTACATGTACATGTACATGTGAATAATGAATTTTATATTAATATGCTTATCTGATATAGTTTCGTAAAATGAGCCAATGTTTGTGACTTTCTTACCGCTAATTAAAACAATCAATTGCTTGATATCGATATGCCGTAAAACGCTCTGTATAGTACCCCTGTAAAGTATTTTCCGGTTTATGCACGGATATTTTTATGGTGCGTATTTTTATTATAGATTTGTATCACTTAAATTAACAATGACGAGAAAAGAAAATAGCGTTAGAAATAACAATCTCGTCAAATATTCCACAACATTTAAATGAACGTTTAATTTGGATCAAGAGACACCCACACAATTTTTTACAAATAATGAATCTCTTCTGATTAAACAAAAGAACTGAATAATTCTTAACATATTTAAAAATTAATTTTAAAAGATCCGTGCACTATATAATCAATGGATGTCAGAAGAAATTCATGAGCTTACACCTTTAAACATTCATTTAAATGTTGTGGAATATCTGACGAGATTGTTATTTCTAACGCTAATACATAGATGATAGTTTCTTTTCTCGTCATTGTTAATTTACTTCATAAAGAATTGTTAAGAATTATTCGGTTCTTTTGTTTAATTAGAAGATATTCATTATTTGTAAAAATTACGTGAGTCTCTTGATCCAGATTTAATTAAACGTTCATTATTTCTAATGCTAATACATAGATAATATCTTCTTTCCTCATCATTGTTAATTTAAGTGATAAAAATCTATAAATAAAAATACGCACTAGTATACAGAGCGTTTTACGATACGTATTCTTCAGGTTATAAGCAAAATTTTTTTGTACTCAATTTGCAGGAGATAATTAATAGATATATTCTAGTTAACGTAAGAGGTTCAATAATAAAATATTGTTATAATTGGTGGGTGTTTCTTATAACCGAAAGAATAAGGTATAATTTCATGCACTTCTACACTATGAGCCATCAAACTCCGCTTGACGTCTTGACAAGAGAAAAAATTTTGCACTCCTAGGTATTAAAAATGACGATCAATAGCAGCAGCTAAAGAACTTAAAAATTTCCCACGCCTTTCAATGTTACTGTTTGTAGCTATTACGATTACTATAAATAATATAATTCGGCCAAACTCAAAAATTAAATTTTCTAATTGGCCAAATTAATTTCATATTTATAAACAATATCAATATCGATATCAATATTTTTAATTCGATTTTATAAAAAGTGTGGGATTTTTTTTGGACAAATATACATGTATTAGTGTAGTGACTGTATCACTATATCGATACCGATACTGTACGTATAATGCATGCATGTTTGCCAAAATAATCAATAACGATAACGTGCATTTTTGATGCAGTCCTTTTTTTTTTAAGTAACATAAGGAACCGTTGACTTTGCTAACGCTAAATACTGTGTCTACGGAGTTGTGCATAATCAAGAAAGAAAGTTCAGAATTGCAAATTCCATTTTGGCATACTGAATTCTCGATTGTTTATTAGGAAGGAAATAATATTGGTCTAAATCTGATAACATCATAAAAGCTTAACTTGAAACTTCATATTGATAAGTAGTAGTAGCTCATCTAAAACATAAAAACGATTCATAGCGGAGATTTGAGTTTGCAAAAAAGAGAAATATTTAACTTACGAGTTAATGAGGAAACGATCCAGTCGTTAATTCATTAATAAAGTAGTTCCAAAATATAGTCGATTTCTCGCAAATTTAACGTTCTGTATCGTTATTGAAAGAAATGTATTAAGTTAGTGATTTGTGTGTATTTTCAAGAGTGATAACGATTATGAATTGTTGATACTTAACTAATTCTTAAAAAATAAGGACACAGAGTAAAAGTTTACTATGAAACAGTAGCAATTTATTAATACAAACGGAAAATCTTTTATCCATCATTGTGCTGCTGGGATTCCAAACAAGGAGCGTTGTGCTGAAGCATGACCTAATGGCAGGTTATTTGCAACCTGCAATTGTTCATTCAGCCTTAAATTATAATAGAAATTTCAGGTCGCAACAGTAGATATAGTTATCGAAAATTAAAATCCATATTTTTGGGCTTTGTCAAAATGCCTATTTAAGTAAACATTGCATCATAAATTCTTTTAAACAACCGGTTTTTGTAACGTAATAAGATCATAATATTTGTGAATATAGCATACAATAAAAAAAGTAGACTATGCTTGTTCAATAGATTGGAAGAAAGAAGGCTATAGAGGCGCCATAGTGCATCTTTTTGTGTTGCATGTAGCATTTGAAATTTCATGACTCGAAGCTTGTAAACTTACTTGATTTTTACTGCATTTGCAGCGGACTACAGTCGAATAAGATGTTGCGACATGCAACACTCCAAAATACATTATGACATGTACTACGAAAAGAAACAAAGACGATAACATCATAATAAATAATGAGCGATTTTCTACAGGATAGAGAGCATTCTATTTTTCTTTCTCGTTGATTAGATCCTTCTAAAGAATACAGTCATATCTCTCTATAATCACGGCTATGCTTGGAACTAGCTTATAAAAAAATACCTCTGTATAATGTTACCACATGTGATTATAGAGAGGTGTGAATTACTTGGATGGGATTTATTATTAAAATGACTAAACGATAACGAGAGCGATAACGATCGTTTGTGTAATTGAATAACTATCGCTATGTGTATGCTAGTTAAGTTTGAAGTTATATTATCACATGTATCGGTATCAAAATTATCGTTTGCCAAATCTTTTGTGTTTAGCGTTGGCGCTAGTATTAAACTAGTTAATAAGTCACATGACAAAAGTCATATATCAGAGTAAAAGACCAGGTTTTTATTGATAAAACATAATAATAATAAGAAAAAAATACAAATGAAAATAAAATTGAAATTGAAAAAAATAGAATAAAATCAATAATTCACACAATAGAATAAAATCAATAATTCACACAATAGTCACTATCAGAAAAAATCGAAGTAATTGCGAAATACCGATTCTTCGGTAAGCCCGATATTTAAGATAAATAGCAAAATGCGGGTAAACAATCAATTGGCATCTTACTTTGCAACCAAAATAGGGATACGATAAAAATAAGTTTATTGATTTTTGAAAGTGGTTTTGTTTAATAAAAAAAATGGTGCGAAAAAATTCGTTCGAAATTACAAAAAACCGATTGATTAATTTGTTAACTTCAATTGTTTTCGAAAATGAATAGGAATAATGTACCTAATAAAATTAAAGAGTGAAATTAAAGAATTATATTTTCGCTTAAATTGATATTTTTAGGAGAAGGAATGACAGAATATACTTACTCGGTCTGTTTACAGTACTATGTAAGACGTGTGGCATATAGATGATGAAATTTGCATTATGAGAATCGCCGAGAGGGAATTGATAGAAACGTAGAGGGTGGAAATTCACAAGATTAAAATAGACAGAGGGAGGGATTTTTTTGATTAATAGAAAATGTAGATCATATTTAAGAAATGTGAATGTTCACATTCGAGCGAAGAGAACATAACTGCTTAGCTGCTTAGAAAAAGAATGAGCATATTTTCTTTGGATAGATGGTTTGATGGACTTTTAGTAAATATACACAAAGTGGGAATTCCTTCTGTTGCTTGGGGTCCTAATATTGGAAAATTTTCCTTGAAATTTTAGAATAGTTATCTTTACAGATATTGATGCATGATGACACCTTGTTGTGACCATTAAAATATGTGGTATATAAAAAACCCGTGTGAATAGATAAAACTTTAATCTCCTTGTGACTTGTCTTCGTTTCTTTCAGCCGCGATATCGAGATCGATCCCATAAATTGGTCCGTGTGTCCGTGTGCCCGTGTGCCCGTGTGTAATTTTGTTATTTATGCAGTGATGGACATGTACATGCATAGCAAACTACATGAACATATAGAAAAGCCCCCACTTTTTTTTCGCATTCTACCAAACACATCGTCTTTTCCATTGTTAGAATCATCTGCAAAACAACATTTCGACTCCTGGATCACATTTTTTTAGTACCATTGTCGATTCGCATGTTTTTTCGATGCTTTATTGTTGTCATCGCCCGCCAACAATAATATCTTGAATTATCAATATTGCATCATAAAGCGTAAGATCATTTTGATCATATGTATAAATGATACTTTCTTTTACTGTATTTCCAAGTGTTCAGGGAGATGATGTCATTGTTTCATGGACTTGCTATAAACGTAAATCTCCGATATCCTAAACGTAACCTGTAAAAAATCTTTTTCCTTGGGGGGGGGGGGGATTAGAGTCACTCAGAAATTAGTTAGGATTCATCAATTCGGTGGTTTACTTAATGACAATGATTTTTCCGAAAAGTGTTCTGCTTCTTTCTACACAAAAAACGAGTAACATTAGTGTTGGTTAGCTGATTAAACGGTTAGACCGCATTTAATTAACGATAATAAACTTTTAGACCATCTGTTTGGTTTTCTATCGATTTCTGCTACAGAAAATCATGATAATATCAAAAGATTATATTTACCGCATCTATAAAAAAAATTCTTTTAATAATAGCGATAGTACAGTATAAAGTAAATTATAGTACGTACACACCAATACGTAGAAATCAACCGATACCTTAATTTGATAAGGATTTTTTAAGTGACGTTCCAATCACTAATGTCTTATCAAATTAACTCATTAGAAAAGAGCAAACTTAATATTAACAACTATGGTGCATAAAATCTTAAGTCATCAAACGTTTGTATTTTATAAAATGTATAAATTTCTTTACTAAAAAGTAAATGCAAAATTTAATATGATAGAATAGGCCTTTTCTGAACATATTTACGGATTAAATTTTGTATTCACTTCTTAGTAAAGAAGTTTATACATTTTATAAAATACAAACGTTTGATGACTTTAGATTTTACGCACCATAGCAACCAGATTATGAATATGACGAAGCTTAATCAAAATAATAACTATATTATTTTTTGAGCTTAAAATGTAAAATTTAATAAGAATTTATATAATTTTCTGAGCCTAAGATGTAAAACTTATATAAATTTGCAAAAACGTAATTTTTCTTTTATTACTCGATAATTGAATAATGTTGGAAGTTAATTCATCTTTGTCTTTTCCAAAATTCTTTGGATATTTTTTCAACAAAGTATAAGTATACATCAAATTCAAGTTCTTCATATAATCTGCTTTTTTAATGAATATATTCTCATAAAACTTGCTTAAAAATTTACACTTATGACTAGAAATTTATGTTAATCTACATCAAATGTTACAAAATACAGATACATGTATATATTTCAAAATTAAGAAATTCGCTGTACAGCATTTAAGTTCTAATTTAAGCTTAAAATTTAGCTTGCATCGTAATACTTGCAAGTGTCTTTAAAAATAATTTGTTGATAATTTTTGGTATAAATAATTGATGAACTTTAAAATCCTTCAGATAAGCAACCACCGAATATACAAATACCAGATATAAACAACTTCAAACACTCTGGTATTTGAATATAGGCAATCACCTCACTTTTGCGGGGTGAAAATCCAAATTTATTGGTTGCTTTTGTTTCGGTCATATACGGTAAATTCATCGGTTCATTACATGGTTGATCTGGTGCAAGTCATTTATAATCAACAATAAATTGAATGATTTAAAGTTTTATATCTTCTTAATTAGTAAGTAATTCTAAAATTTAATTTGTTAGAATGATAGAATGTGTCTTTCTTGATTATTCTAACTGATTAAATTTTGTATTTACTTCCTAATTAAAAAGATATAAAAGTTTAACACATACAACTTATTGATTATAGGTAACTTGCGCTATAGCATTAATTATTTGGGTAATTTTAAAGTTTCAATTGTCAATTTTTTCAAATGATTTATGTATCAAATTTTAATAATGTAAAAAAACCTCCCAGAATTTTTTGTCTCACATCCCGTTTTTGAAATATCTTTTCCTTAATAAGAGTAAAAAATAATATGCACTAACTATTTGTGTTTTTGATCTTATAATAGCTACAAGTATAATACCACGTGGTGAAAACATGAAAGGATAAGAACAAGGGTAACCATATTTTGATTTTTTTAACCTTTATTTTTTTAGAATTTGGAGTAAGTTGTGATGCCTAAATAGATATGCCAAACTAACCGTTTTTTTCTGTGAAAATAGTAGAATGAGCTTTGTATTAATGGATTGTGCATTTGATAATGCAATACGTGAAACCCATAATGACATAATTGCATCGTTATCGATATTACAAATGGTGATCAAGACCATCCAGACCTTTAAAACTCAAAACTCTCGAAGTTAATACAGTATATTGTGTATAAAACATTACTAATTATTCAAATAAATTAATATTTATTACTTGGCATCAGCGTTAGCATTTATGAGAACTTTAAAAATTGCTGTTTTTCAGTTTTTACACATTTTCAACCATTTCAATCAAATCGTTTATAACAATGTAAAAAAATCTAATTCAAATAATTTAATGTACTGTGTGTCAAAAAAAATGACATTTTATGATATAAATAAAAATAAAAACACGCAATAAACATAATGGTATATGTTTATTTATTACATTTAGCATTCCTACAAAAAAAATTGTTGTTTCCAAGAATGTTAATGAGATTAATGATTGAAGAATGAAGAATAAACATATAAAAACGAAATGTAAATTAGTTTTAGAAAAAAATGAATAGAAAGTCATAATTGATAACTTTGTGTCAGATATCACTCGGCTCAAATTAGAATAAGGTTAATATTTAATGCTGGGAGATAGATTAATGTTGGCCGAAGGAACACGTGAAGCGTTACTTGACGCAAATTCTTCGTCTGATGTACAACATTTATATTGTGTAATTGTTGAGATATACACAACCCTAAATGAATTATCGTTATCAAGTTCCTCCGTGAAATCTGCTATCGCTATTGTTCTACATGTATATCGATATAAATAAAATGTCAGCACAGTTTATCGGGACAAGCAGCAATAGGGTGGAAAAATTTGCACATATTACCTTACAGATATTCTAAACAGTCTGCATTATTGTTTATTACTATATGCATATAATTTTTTAGAGATTTGTTAATTGATTACAAAAATGAGTAAGTCTAAGATAGTAAAGAGTCAAAAATCCGAGTCAAGGATTCGCCAAAATAAAAAGGTATTGAGAAAAAAGAAAACCCACAAACAAAATTTAGTATATATACAGCGCCATTAGCATACAAAATAAAAGTAATCCCACTAGACAAAAAATATAACAAAATAAATACCAATCATTATGTCAGATATATTTTTTCCTCCGTTTCCACCAAACATTTCTGTAAATGGATTACTAAAACCTATGAATCGCAAACAAAAAAAGCCTATTAAAGCACCTAATGCATTTATAATTTATCGAATCAACTATTCTCGCGAAATCCAGAGCTATCGAGAAATACCTCAGCCAGAAATTTCTTCTATGGCGAGTCAAGCTTGGAAACAAGAACTTCCAAACGTCAAAGAAACATACCATAATTTTGCCAGACAGGCTCGAGAGATTTATTTGGCCCAAAATACTGAAAATCACGTTGCTGACGGCAATATCGGCAGAAGTCAATCACAAAATTTGTATGAAGATGTTCAAGCGACAACTGAACAAAACAGAATTATTGAAGAGATTAATCCTCTCGTATCTACTCCTATCTTTGACATCAACGTTAGTTTCGAATTCGCAAATATGCAATATCGCATTGCTACTCTTGAGAATGAGATAACTTCAATGAGACAGACTATATCAGAATTGAACGTTAAACTTATGCAATATTCAAATGTCTTTGGGATTTAGTTATATAATGTATAACATTAAGTAGTTTTTATATCATAAAGAAAGAATACTCGCTGTCTTTGAGTTCGTTTTTGCTTCAATGTATGATTAATTACTATAATTATGCTAATATACATGTATGGTTTTATATATCATATATCTCTACAACAATAAAGATAAATTAAGCCTGTTATTAATCTCTAAAAAAAAGAGCCAGTTTTTAGCTTTGATTTGAAATATACTATTTGCATCAAACTAATAAAAATTAAAATACATTCTGACTATGTCTTAAGCTATAGATGCACTCATAAAAATTCTCTTGACTTTAAAAGAATAGAACTCGTTAATAAAGATCTAGTTTGAAAAAGTCTATTTGTTTGTAACTTTTTTTTCAAGCTAAGATTAAAAATTCCGTGATATTTCTACCCAATGAAAATATAAATTAAAATCCAGCTTATAATCAATTTAAAAAATTTTTAGTCTATTTAATATAAATTAAAAGGTCTCGTGATATTTCTCAGAAGAATAATTGAGACCAATCATAACTTTTTAAAAAACTAATACATGTATAAAAAATCTTCTTTTCAGAAGAGAATTCGTAGTTATGACTTGTCTATTTGGTCAATGTACATGTAGTACGTGATTTGTATGGAAAGAAACTATGGAACTTTTTATGCATTGCTACGCGTATCACGAATTCTATAATGTCAAGCAAACGTTGTGGCGTTATATTGTCGATAAAATGAAAATCAGTTGATCAGCATAATACAGTGTGAACTTTTCTCTCTTTAGTGGCAACGTCCTTTCTCTTTGGCGGACTTTACTGTTGATGGAGCAACTAGGCGACGTTAGATTCTACATGAATATCGTCTGATATAAAGTCGGCCGATGCAAAATCGTCATTTCAAGGGTTTTTTCCATTTCCCACCTAATCAATATCATTGCCATTAACGTTAAATGCGTAAGATCTACTGAATGAACCAATCATATCTGTAAAATATCCTGTATCTACATGTATAATAAGTTTGGTCTTTTTGTTGGATAAAAAAACCCAAAACTATATTTTACTTTTGATGGGTAAAAAACAATACAATTACATGTGCTTAGTTTTATCCATAATATAGATCAATTTAATTCTTTGACACAGATCAATAGGTACATTCAGCAAAGCATAATCACTGCATCATAGTTTATAGATTATAAGCAGAAACAATATTATATATAGCGATAACTGAATTCCTTTAATTCTGTCGGCATTAATAACATTTTTGATAATTCTGGCTGATGATCGAGTGAACAAACCGGCAGAGAAAATGCCGAAACCACTACAATTATGATAGAAAATAATCATTATGCGGATTGTATCGATATAATAATATATAAGAAATAAATTTAACAGTTAATCATATAAAGTTTTCAGCCTCTTGTATATTTATATGATTTTTATGCTAAATTTCAAAAATATCTTGATTTTCAGAAATTGCTTGTTAAATTGATTTTGATAAGAGATAAATTCTTATTACTTGTTCAGTGACACGTCAACATGCTTAATCATGCTAACTGGAATCGTTGAATTTTTATTAATCAATTCTTAAAAGATGTTAGTTTAACTTTAATAAAAAAATATGTTAACAGTTTTATTTTCAGAGAAAAAAATTGCTCACTTCTTATTGTTTAGCGCTGCATACACTGTAAAAAATTTAAACGTTAATTTATTCCGATTTTTTTTCAGTAAAACTATTTGTTTTTCGACAAATGAATAATTCAAACTTCTTATTATGAAAGAGAATGTTAAATTAAATGGCAAAGCTTTTACAAGGATGAGCACTGCATACAATAGCTTATCATAACATCTAAACTCATCAATAGATCGTATCGGTATGTTGTAAATTCAATTTGGAGAAATTTCCTTAATTTCTTTAGTAAAACTAATTATGCTTATACGAAATAAATAATCGAGATTCACGGTACAATTTCGTCGAAATTTTTGTATTAAATCAATAGCCTTGAGACTAAATTAAGGTTCCAATTGTTTCCAGATGGGTCAGGTACTTCATGCAGCGCTGTACGGTGCAATATTTCGACCATATTGAGATTGGGATTTTGCGCAAGCACAAACCCTTTCAAATGTCTGCAATCATTTTTAGCCAATTTTTGTCTAAAATATTTTCCATACAGAAATATCATTTCTTCAAATTTGTAATGATCACCTCGGCTATAATCTGTTAGTAATTATATCGCTATATTTACGATTAATCAATTGTAGTTGACTGCTTCACAACTAATTGATTAGTTAAATTAATCGAAAAACGAAATCAATACCGTTCTCAGAAATTTATAATATTAAAACCATCTTGTATCTCATATATTAATAAGAAACTAATTTACACTCTCCAACAATAATGACTCTAATTTTTCTATTCTTTGTCTACCATCAATCATTCTCACGATCGGATATTAGTTTAACCTAACTTTTGGAATCAATTAACAGCGGTATATATCAACTAATTAAATTCAAAAACTTTTTGTTTTTTTATACAAAGACTTATCTTTTATTTATCCAGATACGTATTTAGTATTAGTTAAATTGTTAATCTAAAAATGATTATCCAATGTCCTTAGTAGAGCATTATTGTAAATTTTATATTTTCTATTAACAAAAAGGGGAATCTTTTGTATTCTGTCAAAATACAGAGTCAACTATAAAATATAATGCCGAATAATTGTCAAATTTGCTCAAGTTATTGAGAATAACATCCTTAATAATTTATATAAGTTATCGAAATTATGTAAAGATTGACTGGACTTCTTTTCTATTTTGACTGTTTATCAAAGCCCAGTTCCCAAGTTGCTCTATGAAACTTTGCAAGAATTCTCATCTGTAGTAAAGTCAATCTCTTTGAATCGATTAAAGTAAAATCACTTGATCCATTAATTAAAGACATATGATTATTAATTTCGTTGATTTTGGATCGCAACTAGTCCATGACATTAAGTTAATATTATAATTTAATTTGCATTCAGTGCAGTTTTCTCGTTTTCGACCAAAATAAATTTTGTAACAAGGGATCTTTCGAGATTATATATATGTCTAAATCAAAAATATAATAAATATTTGCTAACAAATCGTTTATTTATAGAAAGAAGGATGGCAAATTATTAAATTGAACAAAATTTTGTTTCTATCTATTGAGTAGCTTAACATACTTTTTTATGCTTTGAAACCAGTGTTATGACCGGATATAGTCCAATACTGCGCCACTGGACTTAACAAGTTTATAAGTCCAATATGGTCCGGTCCAGTAACTTCTGGTTACTGAACATAGTGAAGTAACAACATTGCTCGAAGCATTATATACCATTCGTAGCAAATTTATTACAAAATTAAAGCTTCCAGATTGTAATATGTAGAAATTTTCAATGCAACTTTAATATCCATGAATTTAATAGAAAATGGACTTAAAAATACATATATGATCGTACAAGAGTAAAATCTCTATGAACATAAAACTGAGGTATAATTAATATCGATATCTAATGTGCGCGAATATTTCTGATAAAAATAAAGGGAATACGTACGTATGGTTTGTTTCTCTTTTGGCAATATATTTCAATGGATATCGATATATGTAACAAAGAATCAATTAACGTTAAATATTCAAAACCGTTCAATCAAAATACATGTTAGCATCTTGCATGACACGATTTGGATATACATGTATATAAGTAAAAAGATAAATTGGATTATATGCAAAATAAAAAACAATAGGAAAATAAAAAACGACAACTTATTATCATCCATCGATATCGCTGATGCTAATTCGGTGATATAGCTCTCATATAATACATGTACTTGGTTTCTTGGATCGAAGCTTCTTGCCAGAAATACATGTATTAAATACCGCAAACGCGGCATAAAATTCCCCCCGTGTATGTTGCATTCTACCCCCCCATCAAACCCGTTGTGTACCCGTGGGGATACATTGTACAGAAGAGGGTATACATGTATTACATGTATATTGATCAAATTTGTAATTTTAACTTGGAACAAAGCATATTTGGCCAGAACTAAAAGAGTATATTACATTACACAAAAAAAATCTGGCCTATGAATAGTAGCCGGATAGATCATTGACCAATGAGGTGACGCAAATTTCTGGCAAAACAATCCGACACAAGTAGATGAATAATGCGAAAAATACAGGAAACAGATTTCCAAATCTAGCTTTAATCACTAATTGAAATGTCAGGAAGGCAGTTTTATATATAATCTTAGCTCTAACGCTAACGCTAACCCTAATCCGTCCAAATCAAAATTGTGGTTCCCGGAAAATATATCCAGCTATCATTTTTTCAGGAAAGTAAGTCCTGATGTAAATTCGTAGCTCATTGAGGTTTCCGAATATCTTTTTAGGTGAGCATTCTTTCGGGATCAAACCCCAGGATTCCTAGTCAAATTTAAAACCAAGTTTTATAAGAACGTAAAGAAGCTGATTCAGTTAATATAGGTCTGCAAAGAAATTGCTGATGCTTTTTGGATTTTTTCACCTTTTTATTTTTACTTTTACTACTAGGTATATCAACATATCGATATGGTGGGGTAATGAATTTTCATTTTCTCTCTAGTATTATATTTTTTCATAGGACAAATGTATAACAAGTATAAAAGAAAGAATCAATCGAAAATAGAACTCTTTCCTCTATACTTTAACCCGCCCTATGAAATTATTTTTTGTTAGGACGTAATTTTACTAGGACATGAGCAAATCATTTTGACAGCATTCCTGGACAACAATTATTGGATATACTTTGATAGCATTTTATTAGTGACACTAGTGACCGATATAAAAAAAGTAATCAAGAAAGGCTAAAAATCTCAAGGAAGCGTCACCAGTGAAAATTTCATCTAGTGACAACCGATGACAGGGTACATTAGTATATTTTGATGTCTCGGGCTATGATTTAATTAAGTTAAACTTTTTCGAAAATCCTTCAACGTCTGCGTTGTTTTCATCAAAGACGCTTGCTTGGCAGGAAACTCCAACAAGAGCAGGGTCATCAGAGAGAGAAACCTCCTTGTGTCCGTCCGTGAAGGGCTCCTGTGGAGTATGAAATGTTAACAAACGACCTATACGGCGTGGGTTGTAAAGCAGCAGAATACTTACGGTCCGCACAGCTTTTGCCGGAAACTGTCTCTTACCGCAACGGATACGGACACTAACACGATCTATCAAGAAACATTCTAGAGTGAGATATATGTTCGTTCGTGATATGCGACAATTGCGCAAACGTACCGCTGGTTTTGAGGCCTTTGGGAATTTTCTCAGTATTCCATTTCACATCCACTGTACTACCGACTATTTGATCCGTAGTGGGATCCGTGACTTCGATGCGGTCATCTTCAGATCGCGCTTGCGGAACCGCCACAACTAAAGCCAGAAGACCCACAACTAGAAAGGATATAAGCAGTTTCATGTTTTTGGTTCGACGTGTGTACAAAAGTATGTTGGTTTGATGTATGCATGATAACCCAGAGCACCGACCTCTTTTATAAGAAAACATTCGGCAGTTCTGTTTACGCGATCGGGGATCGTCCGCACCCGCATTTCGGCATAATAGTATAATATTGACATAATTCATATTACGTACGTACATTACGGCGGATTTGCGTAATGAATTTACTATGAAAACAAATTTTTGATTTCATTGGTTAAATCGATGATCAATCACTATACGTATATTAAATAGTGTTTGAAACCGACACCCCTGATATTAAATTTTCACTAAGCAAAAAAACTGTTCAATTGGTATATACAGTTACAATTTGTCCCGCACTGCATGCATTATTAGCCAATGAAAACTAAAATGGGTTTTAATTATAAATTCATTACACAAATCCACCGCAATGAAAAGAATGATTTTTATAAGTGCACACGCTCTCTAAATGCACAGAAGAGCTCTATATATGTTGTCCTCTATAAATGCACAAATGCGCGCTTTACTATGGTCCCAAGGGGGATGCATTTAGAGGGGTTTGTCTGTATTAATTTTATTTAGAAATACTTGCGAACTTTTTCCTTTAAAAGATTCTTGGAAAAGATTAAAGAAGCATTCATTCATTCACCTGCAAGAAGTAGATATATTACTCATCTCAAAATGCATGGCATTGCAAATCATGCAAGCTACCTCTTTCAACAAAACACGGTGGAATTCATGGTTTCAAATGATCTTTTATGCAAAAGATCATATTCAATATTGGTCTGGATTTTTCAACAAGAGCATCAAATGGATAAAAAATAATGCTCTTATTGAAATCGATCATTACTTGAAAAATGAATATCAAAAAACAATGATTTATACTAATTTAATATCTATTTTTGCTAAAGAATTTAGATTTCTTTCAACAATTCAACAAACCACTTTTTTCATTTGTGAAATCACGACTTGAACAACTTTCAGCTTATCTTATAATGAATCGTCAAGCACAATATTTTGGTTCAGAAATGGAAACTTTAATTCAAAATCTTGAATTTGATCCTAAATATTTTTATCCAGTTTGTGTAAAGCATTTGAAGAACTTGCAACAGATTTTGGACCATATTCCCAACGAAATCTTTTTCAAGAAACCCGCATTTTCGATCCAAAACACAGTGACTCACACAAGGAGTAGAACACGCGATCAAAACTTTCTAGAAGTTTTATCTTCAATATCAATCCAAACAAAATAAAAAATACTCATTTTGAACCACAAGACCTCTTAGTATTTTTTTAAAAATATTTTGACAATAGATTATTTAAGTCAATTTTGTAAAACTGGTAATTTAAATCAAATGCTCAGTAAATTTCTCACATTGAAGAACTTTTTTTCTATAACGAATTCAAATTTGGACCGCTAATTAAAAATGTTCTACTCTATGAAATATACCTATTTGCAAATTTCATAAAAATTGACCCAAATTTCATCGAGATTTGAGACCCCGAAGGAACGAATCGATGTAGGAGCATTAATTCATGTATTAATGCATATATTCGGTAGTTAGGATCTTAAATATCTATAAAATTAAGCCTATTTTTATGAAAATTGGCAAATAAGTAGATTTCATAGAGTAGAACATTTTTAATTAGTGGTCCAAATTTGAGTCCGTCATAGAAGAAAAGTTCTTCAATGTGAGAAATTTACTAATTGTAAATTTTGATTTAAACCATCTTATTTCACAAAATGATATGTTGTTAAAAAATATTAGTGGCTTCAAGGTTTCAAATGAACACTTTTTTATTTTGTTCGAACTAATAGTCATGGAAATAAAAATTCTAGAAAGTTAATTTTCGTGTTCCGTTACATGTGTGAGCCACTGTATATGTGGGTCTACATATCCAATTCTATTCGCATAATCCTTTCTTGAGTTGATCCCCTGTAAAAAAAGAATCAGGCAAAAAATCCGGTTTTTTAGTTCCGGAAACCCACAGGTTTATATAGCGATAGTTAGATTAAAATAAAAATCTGATTGAAAACGGAAAAAACGAGGGATGCGATATCTTGTGATCCACAATTTCAACCCAGACAAAAAATACACCATTCGATTCGTCTAGTCTTGGCGAATCGGATGGTGGTATTTTTTGTCTGGGTTAAACATGTGGATCACGAGATATCGTGTCCCAAAGTTACTGGATCAATTTTTTAATTTGATTAATCAGATGTCACGGAAAAATTTAAAAATTTGAATTAGGATTAAGACTGTAGCCAAACTTATATATAGAATTCTCCCCGACATTTTTAATTAGTGCTTTAAATTTGATTTAGACACCTGTTTACTGTATTTTTTCGCATTTTTCATTTTCTTGTGCCGGATTTGTTTTGCCACTCGTGCCACATACATATTCGGCGTAACCGAATAAAAGATCGATTGTACACCATATTGATATGTCGTTTTGGATTTTTATTGGCTGTAGATCCTAAATTTGTCATATATATCGCTTATTGTTATTTTTTCCCCACCAACCTTGTTATTTTCGTTTTTGCGTTCTTTTGGAGTTATTTACTATGGTAGCCTAATAGCGGAAGTCGTGAGCGATGGTCTCGCTACTGTTGTGGCCTCGCTATTACGTTGTTTTAGTGAGTGACACATAGAACCTCTTCTGTAGAATGCGGTCAGAAGTAAATTTAAAACCGTTATGATTGTGGTATATTTGGTAGGTGACGCCCAGTAACAAAGTCATTTATCCTCTGTTGACGTGGCCAGAGTATCAAAACAACCGTGATTGTGGTATGTTTGGTAGGTGATGCCCAGTAACAAAGTCATTTATCCTCTGTTGACGTGGTCAGAGTATCAAAACCATTGTGATTGTGGTATGTTTGGCAGATGATGCCCAGCAACAAAGTCATCTCCCTTCTGTTCGGCAGAGTCAGAAGTAAATCAAAACGTAAGCTATAATGCATATTAGTAGGTGATGCCAACGCAAACTCATCCTCTCTTCTGTTTACACGGTCAGAAGTAATAAAAACCGTGCCCGCAGTTATAGTATTCTATCATTATCAAGACCAGTACTCCAACCGCGGCAGAAAAAAAAGGTGTGCTCACATATCCAAAGTGTCGGGTCATATAACTTCCGAAGTGATCATCTGACTCCGGAAAATCTGGTCTGTCAAACATCTCTGTGTCCACACAATTATCTTTCACTCTAAACATTTCAAAATTAGATTCAGACTGCTCTACAGTGCAGTTATTACGATATTCTTTATTATAGAATAACTAAAAACCCAGATGGATTATACAAAAAGATGACGATCTACGTAAATACGTATCGGTATATGATTTCCAACTACGAAGCAATGACTTGAGAACAAAAATTACTATATTTAATTTATATTATTGAAGATTCACAATAAGAAATTTTTGCATCGTGACTTTCACCCTGGAAATATATAAATATGGTTTAAAACGGCTAGAATTGCTGATTTTGGACTTACCAGACCAGCAGATAATCAAGAAATTTGCGGAGTACTTCCTTATGTGAGTCCGGAAGTACTAAAGCTGCAGATATTTATAGTTTCGGGATGATTAAATACGAGGTTAACGACTATTTGGTGAGCGGGGTCATGGTATAGATCTCGTATTAGACATCTATGACGGAGTACGACCTACGATACCAAATAATGTTCCTAAATTACTCAAGTTTATTATTGAAAATGTTGGGATCCTATTCCAGAAAACAGAACAACTGCTGAGGAGCTTGGAGACTTTATCGATTCCATCAAATATGGTGCAACAAAATTGAATACTTTGCATTTCAGTACAGCCCTTTAGAAGATCCTAAGACAAACGAAGAAATTATTGAGTGTTAAATTAGAAAAGCAGAAATGGAAAGAACCTATGAAAAGAGGAAAAGCGTTCCTACAAATATGAACAAAAACAAGCAATCCATTCCGATGCAGTTTACACCAGTTGAGTCTTTACCCAATATACCAATCTATAAATGTACAAGCGATCAGGTAGTATGTATAATTTTGGACAATGCCGGGCGTTCGGATACTTATGGTCGCTGCTGTATTTTATTATAACGATTTTATTCGAACAATCTTTTGTTCGCATATACGGAATTTTTGTCGCGAATCAGTGAATAAACTAATCAAGTTCCAAACTCTAATTTCTACACAAATTTTGTATTTCGTTTAGAATCAGCATTAAAATTAAACTATTAAACTAAGTGAGTAAGTGCTCGGAATTGATAAGTAAATTTCAAAATGTCCAACAATTATTTTTTCGCAAAATTAATACTTGAGACTCCTCACATTCACCAACTAAATGATTTATTACACCCAGGCGCCAAACACCGCATATGACTGCATCCACCTGTTTTTTGAATTCTAGCGCCGCAGTGTGGGCAAGGTTTTGTATGCCAATTAATAAAGCGTTTAGATTTTATATTTGCTTTCTTCAAGTGCTTCAGTCTGGAACGTTCCTCGCGGTTTGCTTGTTTTTTCGGTGTTTCTGGTATTTCTGGCTTCTTTGAAAAGATTTTTATGGAGAGTTTAAGAAAATATCGCAGAGATATTTTTGAAGTGGCTGTTCGATCAAGTTCACACATTCTGCAATTGACGTTTGGTTTTAATGGAAGTGTATGTTTTAGGCAGGTATTTCTTGAGCAATTGTTACATGTCATTATCGGTGATTCTGCATTAAGGAATAAAAGTAAGATTAAATATTGTATAAAAATTTTAATAAGATATAATAACCGTATGTTTTTTACCCTTATCAACATGAAGTTGACCGAAATTGCATTTTGGTTGCAAGCAATAATGAAAATCTTTAACTTTCGCGTGCGCAACTTTAAAAGAAATCAATTCGTATCTGTTGAATAGTCGAATCAACAAGTAATCAGCCAATTAAATTAATTAGTAATTCAAAAGAATACAACACCAACTAATTACCTTTTATAATACTCTTCCGAAACAAATCGCTTTATATCTAATCCCTGAAACACACTGTCACAATTGGGACAATTTATATCAACTTTACCATAACTTTCGAATTGGGTTATTATGTGATTTGCTACACAAGTTGAACATACGATATTTGCATGTTTGCAGTTTTGGGTAACTAGTTCAAATAAATTATTATCTTTTTCCTCAACGCATATAGCACATACATGATTTACTACTGATTCTGTGATGTTGTTAGAATTAACAGAGTCTGATTGTTGAGAAACGATGGATAGTTGCATTGTATGAATATTGGATTCCTAGAATTATTAAGACAAATATAATATAATTATAATGCGCATACAGCTAGCAAGTATTATCAATTGATAATTTAAATTTTTTGTGAGAACAGAAAGTAAAGTTTAGCTCATTTCGAGTGTTTACGAGAACTGTAGTGGGCTATTATATTATTTCTTATGTTATCGTTATTATCTAACCATATTTAGAAAAAATTTCTCTATCTATATTTATATTCCTTTATAATGACTCTTTATGCATACATTTAAAAGAACAAATAACGATAATAATAACTTACTGCGTGAGTTCCCGTGAAATTTTTTTCCGTATAGATGTACATACATGTACAATGTGATGATACGTATAACGATAATGGTTTTACGTATGTATTCGGTATACATGTATCAAAAAATTCATCGTTATTGTTGTGTATCCTATTTTATTTTGTAAGAATGCGCATTCATTTACCCATCGAATCCTGTGCTTAAAATCAATTCTTTGATTAGAAAACATTATTAGAATGCCACATGAGTATAGCAAGTTCCATACGTATAGTAATGTAAATTTTATGTTGCGCAAAATTCGATGGCGTATACGTACATAGAAATCGATCTACCCAATAATGATAACAATAAAGACGGAACGCTTTTTATAACGGAGAAAGAACTTCCATTTTTGTGTGTATGATAATAAAAGCCTTTTCTTTCAATACATTAAATGCGTAATGTGCCTGTCACTTTTATGTGAATACTTACGCGTAATATGTTTCGCAAACGTACAGGATAAACAAAAATTAAACTATATTACCAATTGCTAGGATCAAGAAAGTAACAAAAAGACTTTATGTTTTTGTTATATACTCTAAATACACATAAAAGAAATAAATTTTGATAAAACATAATTAAAATAATAAAATATATGCGTGAACACAAAGAAGTTGATAAACAATAGAAATTGCTTTTAGTCGCTGTGCTTTAACTCAAAACACAGTTAATATCGATTCCATGACTACCATCAGGATATCTAATGTTTTTAAGCTCTTAAATTAAATCAAACTAACAAATATTTTAATTAAAATATAAAGTAAAGTAGTTACAATTTTCTATTAACAAAGAGCAGCTTTCTTATTTTATTGTATGTTTCATCTTGAATCTGTAATTTTTACTTGATATCTCTTCATCCTCTTTATTTCATTCAAATTGATAATTTTAAATGATATACTAATAATATCAGAATTTTTTTGCATTACCAAAAAGAAAATAACAATAAATTAATATAACAAATACAAACAGACGCTTGTAGAAACTAGATATAGTCCGGTACAAAAAGCTTTGTATCTCTGATAACCATTAATAAATTATTTTTTAAATAAAATTTTAATTTTGTCTCATTTAATTAAGTTATTAGATATTAGAATTTATTTTAATATATATTTTAATTATATATATTTCATAAAAAAATTTTTACTAGTAATGACTTTTTTGAATTCTTGTTTTGTAAATTTTACTATATAAAATTTGATTAAAATTAATATAAAATGTATATAGTAAATAATTTAATTGTTAAACTTTGAGACTTAATTTTGCAATAACTACTGATTCAATCTTTATGAAATTTGAAATATATTTTTATCAAATATATAGATATGCTTGCATAATTGAAGTTCTAATATTGCAATTATAAAAATAATGCTTAAAATGTATTTTTTTAAAAAGTATTGCCTCATTAATTAGTGTAAAAGAATAATATAAATAGTTAGTTTGGATTGTTGTTTATTTAGTGTAAAAAAATTATAATTGAGTTAAATTCTGAATGACGTTTATTAGAAGCAATTATTACCTTTTAATTTGAGGTACAAATCTTTTTGCACCAGACCATAGTCAAGTTTATAATTAATAAAATGGCAATATATTTGGAAAAGCACCGTGTCATTCGTAATCGAAATTAGTTTTGTAGTAAAGGTTCGACTGGTATAAACTGCATTTGAGTATATTTGTTGTTTTTTTGCTTGTATTCGCATGAATGCTTTTTTGCAATTCATCTCCTCATCAAGTTTTTTAATTTTTAATTTCAGTTTTTCTAATCTAAGACACTCAATAATTTCTGTGTTTTAGGATTTTCTAAGAGCTGTCGTACTAATATTTGGTTCCCACTCCAATTGACATTATTGAGAGTGGATAAAGTCATCAAGTTCCTCGGAAGTTGGCCTGTTGTCAGGAATAGGATCCCAACATTTCCAATAATGGCTTTGCACCTTCGATGAACATTTTTTTTAGGTCGGACTCCAATTATATAGTGACAAAGTAATGCAACAAAGAATTTATAAATTTTGATACCTTTGACAAATTTAACGATATCAAATTACAATCGATGCATTTGATTATTATATGCTATCGTTTAACATGTTATAAATTCAGCATGGATTATTAATTTTTGCAGTTGCATTACTTTTGCATTTTTACAACATAATTCATATAATTCTCTACTTAAACTAAAAGTTCTATTTTTTATTGATAATACTAGATATAACTAAATATATATCACCATCTTGCTGGTAGATTTTTTTAGTATCAATAAACAACGTCGACCTCATTCCTAATCTATTCTTTTTGACGACTCACTGTCGTTTTAAATTCAATGGAATTTCATATTCAGTAATGTGGTGACTACTTCAAAATGTTAACGCTGTCATGAATAAATCACTGCTTTATTGAATTCGCAGTGTAATATAATCATTTTCTATTAGAAAACGATCTAATTTATTCTTAGCTTGGATTGTTTTCATAATCCATCGCAATATCGCTTTCAAAAGATAACTAACGTTATAAACGTTAGTGCATGTAATTATATACCAACATTTCACTACAAAATTTAATAAAATTGGTATAATGATTTACTGGTCTTTTCCAATAGTAAGACTGCAAAAAACCAGGAATTAAACTCACTGAACTAAATTTAAATTGTCTTTGACTAATTTCAATAGGTCAAATATTAATACCGTAATTTGCCATTTAGAATACCCCTATAAAATCATACCCCCATGAATTGTACCCGGTCCGATGCATGGTTTACAAAGTGAGTAGAATGTAACGTACCCCTTGTAATTCTGGTTGAAACTATCATTTTATATACCCGCCTGCCGTTACAAATCGGATTTTAGCTGGTGGAATGTAACATACCCGGGGTATTCTAAACGGCAAATTACGGTACTATTTTCGATTATGCGTGACGTTTTGGTTTGTAACGAAGAGCTGAGCCTAAAACTTTAATATTTTTCACTTTTCATAGGTGATCTTAAACTTCAGCGGTGGCCAAACAGTTGTGAAAGGTGATGACAGAACATTTATCTTCTCAGCTGATTCAATCATTCAATACATGCATGCGACCAGTTTCGTATGCGTTATTTTGTTAATATAAAGACTGCGGACATACTAATCTTAAGCATCTTTATTTTTAAAAATATAAAAGTATACAAATTTAAAATGTTTTAATACTTTGTTGTATTACTTCTGATTGCTACTGTATATGTTGTTGCATACAAGAGATATATTACGACTTCGTTCACCAAATGGTTGTTCGCCTGTTACAATCTCGTACATAATCATCCAAAAGCTATAAATATCTGCAGCATTCAGCACCTCTGGGGAAGTACTTCACAAATTTCTTGGTTAGATTTTTATATCTGCTGGAATACTAGCAATACCAGGTATTAATATATTTACGGGATGAAAGTCCTAATTCACAAGTTTCTCTTCATGAATAATACGCAAATTATTGATAATATCCTTAAATGTTCTAATTTTTTCTCCCAAGTAAATTCTTCGTGATTGGAATTAATATACAGTTGGTTTTTAGTTAGTCCATAATAATCTATTCCATTACCAGTGCACTTTAGAGCAATTTGAATCTATTGTTGAAAAACTTGATTATATTAAACTTTAGAATGGGTCATTTTATAAACTCGAATGTAATTTGTGCAATGATTACAATACAATGATTTCAATACAATGTCGTCCAGATAGTTTGAATTACAGTTCCGGCGGAAAGTAATGTTTTTAGTTAGCCTCTTTTTAAAGACTGGATAAAATATTTTATGAATCTCTCCCAAAATGTATCTCTGGCATTTGAAAGCTGTAATACATATGGGGGTGGAGTCAGTAAAAAGGGACAAATTTGTTAGAGTAATTTGTCCATTTTCTACTGACTCCACCCCCATATCTTGATCTGGGCAGAATTTTAATTGTAATATAGAGTTAATTATTAAGAGCATCAATGTATTTTTGGTTTTTCTTCGTAGAAAATCTTAGAGTACGATGATATACGTACATGTACGTACATGTATATGTAGTACTTCTCAATTGGTATAATTTCCCGGAAATTTTCTAACGTAGTTACTCTTTTAAACATACAATAATATTATATGTAACAGTTAAGGTCAGTGTTGTAGAATACTAGGCTTTGTTCCATTGATAACACTGATTGGATCAATGAATTATTATTACAGTGAGAACCAGTTACGTAACTTTGTCCATTGATAATTTAAAATATATAAAAGATTTTTTCAGCACAATACTGTAAATTCCCCCTGATGTGCAGTTAAAAATAACAGGTTTCCATTTTTGGAATACAGTATGAAAATGCGATCTTCCCTATGCCTGCTTTTGTCAAAATACAGCATTTGTCATAATCTTTCAGCGTCTCCCATCATCTTTCAGCATTCCCCCATCATTATTAGCGTCTTCACGTCATTCTTCAGCATAGTTCTATTAGTTTTCAATTCAGTTTCTTTCTTAAATAGTATTAATAAGTAACAAATGTCACAAAGTAAAAAAAATGTATAAAAGAACGGCCTACGGGCGAGAAGAATAAAAAGAATTATGAATTGAATTCATATTGCGAACAATTATTCTCCAAGTAAGCTACTTGTAAAAAGAGAATTCACATTGCGTACAATTGTTCTCCAAGCAAAATTAAACTTGAATTATTGCGTACAATTATTCTCACC